GCCCGTGAACGCACCGCAGGCTGCTCTCACTGACTCGGACTCAGAGGAGACGAGTCATCAGAAGTCACTCATTTAACTGGAAGTCTGCGGTTTGGTTCGGAGATGTCAGCTGGAAGTCTGCAGGCCGGCACAGGTGCTTCTCCAGGCCGGCCCTCATTGGTCCAGCAGGATCAGAAGTCAGGACCTCGCCGCTGATTGGCCGCTTCACGTCAGACGCTGTGACCCTCGTGGCGTGAAGTTTTTTTGGGGGGGAGGAGGAGGAGGAGGAGGAGGAGAGGGTTGACCTGCAGTAACCTCGATCATGTCATTCTGGGGTGATGGTGATAAAACTTCGGCGCACATGTGACACCAGAGCAGCGCCCTGAGTCACCACGCGGCTCCTTCATGGACTCTGGTTCCGGGCTGAGTCAGCAGCCAGTAAAGTTCTGGTGATGACTTTATAGATGCTGTGAAAAACCCGCTTTATTGTCAAAGTACGTGCGTGCAGGAGGGTTTTATGCAGCTTTGTGCTTCTGCGGCACTAAAACTGACAAACAGGAGAACCAAACCGTTTATATGATTCCCGCAGAGTGAGTTAAAACAGATAGGGTCTGTACAGCTGGTTTGTTTTTATTTTATTTTATTTTTATAATATTTAACTTTAGCCCTTTCTTATTGTGATTTGGTGTTTTTCTTGTTTGCTGCTGTATCGCAATAATTTCCCAGGTCTGGGATAAATAAAGAATTTCTATTCTATTCTATTCTAATCTAATTATAATGCATGCAACATATACATATTTAAGAAAATACGCTATATAGATATATAATAAATTTTAGGTAAAAAATAAATAAATAAATACAAAGCGAAAAAGTGAAAAAAAAAGAGATTATTATTCTGAGGCCAAACATAACAAAACCTACACAACATCTCATAAGAATACCATCATTTTCTGTCATTAAAATGCATTTTCTAGCCTTTTTTTTGTTAAGTTTTTAAAAAAAAAATTTTAACATTTGCAAATGTTAAAAAAAACATTTGCGCAGTTGGTAGCACTGTTGCCTCGCAGCAAGAAGGTTGCCGGTTCGCGTCCCGGTGGGGGCACCGGAATCTTCCTGCGTGGAGTTTGCGTGTTCTCCCCGTTCAGCGTGGGTTCTCTCCGGGTTCTCCGGCTTCCTCCCACACAGTCCAAAAACATGCTGAGGTTAATTGGTGATTCTAAATTGTCCGTAGGTGTGAATGT